TTCTATGAGGCGGTATAGTTATTCCCACAGAGTGTATTTTTGAGGACAAAATGGCATCGGCACTTGGCGCCTTAAATGTATTTTAAATTTTTCATAAATTATTATATCAAGTCAATTTTCCTTTTTGTTTTTTTCGCCAAAATATGCAGTAAGTCATCAGGGTTCAACTTATTAATGTCCCGATGCACTGATAACATTGTAAGTCCATTCAAGCATAACGGCTACGAAATAGGCTAAGAATGTATGTACAAAAGGCAAAGCACACCTTTTCGTGGCCGTCCCCCGAGCCCCCCGACCATGTCGTTTCCAGTCCATTGTATCTTACTTCGTGAGCTGTAGGAACAATTGTCTTGTCATATATTGTAAATATTGAGCTATCGTAGTTTTATAGGTACTAGTAAAATAAAAAAATCTCAACTATAATAATATCCATGAATTCTTATTTCTCATTTTAAAATATTTCTTATCTTAAAATCTTTTAAAACCAAGTGCTTACGGGAATTTAATTATGGTTATTCTAAAAAAAAAGGCTTCTGGGGGAGGATATATCACCATAATTCCGCCACTGAGTGGCTTATAAACAAACAGTTTCCATAGAAACATAATAATTATAAAATATACATTAAAATATATACATGAAGTCGTCTCGACCTGGTGACCGAGAAAGACATCGAGTGGGGTTTTCATGTCGGTTCTGACCTTCCTTAGATGTAGCTGAATATTTATGTTGAAATTCAAGTAAATCGGTCAGGTAGTTTTCGAGATCATAAGGATAATAGAAACCGCCACTTACTTTTATATATATAGATAAGATTACAACTATCCCACACAGCATTTGTCAATCACAACGATTGTATCAATGTTTAACATTGATTGAAATTTAAATATTTAAAATTAAAACTTTATCCAACTTTAAATAGTTATTTAGTTTGTTATGTTATAGTTGAAATATTGAATATGAATTAATTATTATTAATAACATCCGAAAACAAATTATTTAAATTTTAATACACATTTAAAATTGTATGAGTTTTAACTATTAAACTTTATTTAACTTACCAGGATTAATAATTATTAAACATTGAAAATCAAAATTGATTTATAATTCAATTAAATTGATAAAACAATATTTCACTTACTTATATATTATATAGGTATATATATATATCACTATAGGTACCTATATTACCTATATTATATATATTATATAATATATAGGTATTATTTCTGTTTTACCAGACCCCTTTTTTTTGCAATTATTTTTGTTTCAACGTACTTATGCTGTATAGTTAAGCAAGCTGAAAACAATGATGATGTCAGATTGGAGTTAGTATTGAAGTTATATATTAATTTATATTAATTCCGATAGTCGATACCCACCCTAGCTAGATGGTTTTAAGTAATAAGCCGAGGGATTATATTTTCGATTTTAATTGTCCTGCAGGTGTATCCATATATGAAAATACAATAAATTGCAATTAGTTATAACTTAAAGAAGTAAGTCCGACTTCTAAAGTCTGACTTCACCATAGTTTTAAGCATGCTTATAACTACAAACGCGTTATACAACATAAAAAATTGCAAAAAAAAGGTTGTCCGGTAAAACAGAAAAGTTCCATATTATTTTCACTACGAAATTGAACAGCAGTCATTATCTAATTATTATAATATAATATAGTATATGCAGGTACGTTGCAGTAGTCTGCAATAAGCCAACACATGATATATAGATACACTGTCAATGCCCGCGTATTATTTATAATAAGTTTATACCACACAGTTTACCACTGTAGTCAGCTGCAGTGTAATGAGTAATGACTAATAGGTATATTATTATAATACACTAACTGAATAAAATTATTTAGTATATTATATGTACTATAGTATATTATATCAGCGCCTATAGCCCGGGTCACCACGCCAAAAATACGTCCATCAGTCGACTATAATAATATTATTCGTCGACCCACGCGCAGCAACATAGGTTATTAATTATTATACTTATTTATTATCCTATATATGTATGTAATTATTTAAATTATTAATTAATATTAATGCTTTTAATATAATAATTAAATAGTTTATATTATGAATATGATTTATTACCACCTACCAGGAGAAATAATCGTAAATAAAATAATAGTTAAAAATAAATTCAAAAAGTGATAAAAATAATTTTATATTTTTCCAATTACTCTGTATTCTGTAGGAACACGCTGTATATATATCAGAAAATAATATATTATATAATATTTGTTGTTATTTAATTTATGAATACAAATAATATTGTCATGAATCATGAATCATGATACAAGTATATAGCATGAATGCCATGGCCCAAGAATATTGTCAGACGTCAGTAAAGTTGTATCGGTATTATCGGTAATCGCGGCACGACGACGCACGACGCACCGATTAATGATTATTGACGTTTGATCATAGAACAATATAGCATAGACAAGAATATAGAAGCGAAACTCGATCACCTGAATACCTGATGGGTGAAGTGTTTACCTATGATCTGAAGTTCAAACAATGAAACTGTTTCCGTACACCAATATGATGTTATACCCGTATTGAAAAACTGTTTCCCGGAACATAGGCGGGATACGCTACGCGGGGTCAGCTTGTTTCCCATTCCCTATTTCACATACGCTACTGCATACAATTTAGTAGACACTAGACAGTAGTTACTATGGAGTATAAGGTCATAATATTATGTTCCATATGGTTTTAATTTTAAGTTATTATGTTAATTAGATACCTATAATATTTTATATTAAATTGTATTGAGTACAAATGTTTTTGAGAATTTTAATTGTAATTTGTAACTGTTATTAACGCGGATATTATAGCCGCAGTCTAAAAGCTGTCAACCAGTGTGCGTAATCGACGCGACGCAAAAATTATATATTTATTCGCCCTGGTCGAGCCGTTGTGTCTGGCAGCCTGGCTCGCCAACCGCTGTCGTTGGCCGTTGGGATTGTTATTTGTGTCTTTCCATGGTTCAAAATATATGGTTATTGGTTAGAAAAAAAAATAAAATGGCTATTTAAGCCATGTGCCCATGTGTCTTTCTTTCGTTTACGACATTCCGAGACTCCGAGTGGTGTGGAACTGCGTACTTATACAGTTATTGTACTTATGTCTTAAACATAATTATTATTCACGTCCGTTACGTCCGTCGCGTAGTTATTGAAGTAGTGTTATATCTGCAGATATAACAATATTTTGTCTTTTTTTACACTCGTTTGTTGTAGATACACTTTTTGGTATTCTTGCTTGTCAGTTGCCCGAGTTGTAGCTGTGTGCCGTGTGTGCCGCCATTTTTGATATATCTTGGCCGCTGTTACTTGCCTGGTCTTTCCCGTACGTGTTCCGTCGTGGCGTCGTTCCGTGTATTCGGTGTATTGAATACTGAGCCAGCGACGACGTTTGTTGCCCATCGAGGCTGCGTTTCCCGTTTAGGCTGTGACACCATAATATACCTTAAGAGCTATTATTTGGTGATCCGGTAAGTATATCTGCAGATATAACAATATTTTGCCTTTTTTTACACTTGTTTGTTGTAGGTTTACTTGTTGGTGTTGTCATTTGTCAGTTGCCCGAGTTGTAGCCGTGTGCCGCCATTTTTGATAGGTATATCTTGGCCGCTGTTACTTGCCTGGTCTTTCCCGTACGTGTTTCCGTCGTTCCGTGTATTGAATAGTGAGCCAGCGACGACGTTTGTTGCCCATCGATGCTGCGTTTCCCGTTTAGTCTGTGACACCATAATATACCTTAATAGCTATTATTTGGTGATCCGGTAAGTATATCTGCAGATATAACAATATTTTGTCTTTTTATACACTCGTTTGTTGTAGGTACATTTTTTGGTATTCTTGCTTGTCAGTTGCCCGAGTTGTAGCCGTGTGCCGTGTGTGCCGGAATTTTTGATATATCTTGGCCGCTGTTACTTGCCTGGTCTTTCCCGTACGTGTTCTGTCGTTCCGTGTATTGAATAGCGAGCCAGCGACGACGTTTGTTGCCCATCGAGGCTGCGTTTCCCGTTTAGTCTGTGACACCATAATATACCTTCATAGCTATTATTTGGTGATCCGGTAAGTATATCTGCAGATATAACAATATTTTGTCTTTTTATACACTCGTTTGTTGTAGGTACACTTTTTGGTATTCTTGCTTGTCAGTTGCCCGAGTTGTAGCCGTGTGCCGTGTGTGCCGCCATTTTTGATATAATATCTTGGCCGCTGTTACTTGCCTGGTCTTTCCCGTACGTGTTTCCTCGTTCCGTGTATTGAATAGTGAGCCAGCGACGACGTTTGTTGCCCATCGAGGCTGCGTTTCCCGTTTAGTCTGTGACACCATAATATACCTTAATAGCTATTATTTGGTGATCCGGTAAGTATATCTGCAGATATAACAATATTTTGCCTTTTTTTACACTTGTTTGTTGTAGGTTTACTTGTTGGTGTTGTCATTTGTCTGTTGCCCGAGTTGTAGAATTCGCCGTATGGTCTAATATCTAATACCTCGTTGAATTGGTCTAAACCATCTGCCAACTGTACATTTGTCACTCACCAGTAGCAGTAGCTGCATCAAATAATTCAACACTCATTGTCATCTATTATTCTGTCTACTCCCGTGTGCCCCAGTTGAGCAGTGTAGTCAGGCAGGTCAATTTTGATTTTTGTTATGTTTTTTTATATGTATTAATTACTAGGCAGTAGGCATATATCGATTATTGTTTATTGTAGTCTATTATTATTTTTATTTAGATATTTAGTTACTAGGCGCTCAATAAGAACAGCTTCATTGTGTATTATTCATATAGGTACCATGATATTTGCATTATTATTTTTACATTTATCTATACATTGTTCACTTTTGTGAGTCACCCTTAGGTCGCAAATCGTATTAAGCAACTGTTAGGTATATAGATTGTAAGGCCACCCATTATTGTCGCAAACATTAACAAGACTATTTTGAATATTTTTTTAAATATGACTCATAATCAATATTTGAGTAGATCAACTAAACGGAGAAGGTTTCTTGAGGAGGTTGAAGTAATTGATCTTTTTAAGGAAAATCCATCTTCAGCACCCCCAGAAACTCAACCTTCCACCCACCAAGTAAATATATTAGAAGAGCATCTAGATACATCCAGCCATATTATTCAAGTTTCTGATAACAATAATTCTAATTTTCAAGTTAATGATTTAGATTTAGAAGTACTTGATACTAAACCTGATAGTTATAATACCAGTGATGAAGAAACAGTAGGTACTAATTTTTTTGATAATGATGCAGAGCTCATTTTAAAATCTTTAGCTCAGTGGGCAGTAAACTTTAATATTACAAATATGGCTTTCTCTGCATTGTTAAAAAATTTGAAATCCCACAAGTGTTTTAATAGTTTTTCAGTGGATGCTCGTACCATTTTGAAATGTTCAAATACCAACTCTACAGAAATTCTATCAGTTCCTCCTGGAAAATATTACCATTTTGGCATTGCTAATGGTTTAAAAAATATAAATAACTTTTTAAATAATTCTGAAGGCACAATTAAAATAAATATCGGAATTGATGGTTTGCCTCTTACCAAAAGTTCAGGTAGCTCATTTTGGCCAATTCTTGGTAGTATACAATACTTTTCAAGTACTTATGTGTTTATGATTGGTCTTTACTGGGGATTAGAAAAACCTATGGATAGCAATATATTTTTGGATAATATGGTTAAAGAATTAAAAGAATTGTCAAGTATTGGAATGTCTACACCTTATGGTACAAAAATTGTTTTAGTTAATTGTATTTCTTGTGATGCTCCGGCTAAAAGTTTCGTTACGAAAACAAAAGGGCATTCGGGATTTTATTCTTGTCCGAGATGTGATATTGAGGGTATATATTATGAAAATAGAGTTTGTTTCCCAGGAATAAAAGGTAATTCAAGAACACATATAGATTTTGTAAACCGTACAAATGAAGAATATCATGTAACAGATTCAATATCTATTTTAACTGATATACCACATATTGATATAGTTCACAGTTTCAGTCTAGATTATATGCATCTTGTATGTTTGGGTGTTACAAAAAAAATTATTTTATTATGGTTAGGTAATTTAAAAAAATCTCCATTACATGTGCGCTTACAAAACAAAAATGTGCAAGCCATTTCATCTAACTTGTTATCCCTCAGACCTCATATATGTAGTGATTTTTCAAGATATCCCAGAGGACTTAATGACTTACCTAGATGGAAAGCTACCGAGTTTAGGTTATTTTTACTTTATTCAGGTCCTGTGGTATTAAAAGGTATACTTAATAATGAATGTTACAAACATTTTATTTGCTTGCACATATGTTTCAGAATTTTATTAACTCCAGATATAAGCGTAGAATTAGTTGATTTTAGTGAAAAATTATTGATGTATTTTGTAGATAAGTTTGGAAAACTTTATGGAAAACATTTTGTTTCCCATAATGTACACGGGCTTCTACATATTGTAGATGATTACAGAAAATTTGGATTTCTAGATAGTTGCTCGTGTTTTCCATTTGAAAATTATATGAAAGTCCTTAAGAAAATGGTAAGAAAGCACGAGAAACCATTAGAACAGGTGATTAAACGGTATGATGAAATACTAGAATTTTGCAAACCAGAATTAGTCATCAAAACTTCTAGTCAACAAATTAAATTAATGAAACCTCATAGTGCGGGACCACTTATGAATGATAGAACTGTGTCCCAATTTAGAACTGTTACAATTAATAACATTAAGATAAGTATTTCATCAATTTCCGATTCCTACATAGGATTTGAAAAACAGGGGAAGTTAAATATTTGTCAAGTTGTTAATATAATATCTGAAAATGACAGAACTGCCAATAAAATAGAATTTATTGTAAAAATATTTAATAAAGTTGAGTCATATTTTGAAAAACCTCTTAATAGTTTTAAATTGGGTATAGCTGTAGTGGATAATTTATCAGATAATTGTGTTCAAATTGATATTCATAAAACAAAATTTAAAAAATACATGATACTAAGTAGCAACCAAGATTTGCATCTTATTGCTTTCCCCATTTTGCATACAAATGTAATTTAACATAAAATATTTTTTTTTTTTCTACTATTATGATTTTAAATATTTTATTTATTGCTCTAAAATTAAGTATGATTTGTGTATTAGTAAACAAATATATTATACAATGTGTATTATAATTTATGATTTAACTGTTTGAATAAATTATATAGGTACCAAAAATAAATATAAAATATCAATAATTAATATAATATGTATTTTACAATTCTAGAACTTGAAATGGATACAAATTTTTTAGTTGCTCATTTTTTTGATGACGATTCGGTGGAAGCTGTGCCTTCATCATGGTTTATTGGCAAAAAGTTATGTGCTTGGCCAAAAAATGATGCCCTTGCTGGCAAATTTATTGTTTCAAAATATAAACCAAACGAAAAAGAGTTTAAATATTTAAGGGCTAGAATTCTTCGTAAAAACATAGGTAAACTAAAAATGTTTCTATCTATTATTTAATTCAAAATTATGGCAATATTATAAGAACTAGTATTCCTGATTCTTATATTTTTTAATACAGAAACACTAGAAAAAGCAAGACAAATAGCAGATGTAGCAAAATATAAATCAGAATTTTCATTATCTGAGGATGAAACAATTAATGTATTAAACAGACCTAGTTCTCCTTCATCATCGACTTCTTCTGTGCCACTATTTTCCGACCATGGTATAAAAAAACATAATTGCTTAAACTGTTGATATTGATTTCTATTTGTAAATTAATTTAAACATTAACGCTTCTTTTTGTATGCAAATTATTGATATACATTAGATATTGAAAGTGATGAAGAATATTCAAAAGATAAAAAGTTAAAAAATAATAAAAGGTCCGATCGTAAAAGTATTAATGACCACAATTTGGCATCAACATCATCATCATCTGCAAAACCGATAAAATTGAATGAAGGTACTGTTGACAATTTAAATTTATTATCTTTTAAAATATGATAAAAATAATAATATATTTTAAAATTATTGCTAAATTAGATATTGAAAATGATGATCACGAATATTTGACGAAAAGCTTAAAAAATAATAAAAGGTTCAGTTGTAAACAAATAAATCCTGGATGGTCTCCTTATTCACCAAAAAAAATAAAAAGTAACTAAACAGTTTCTTCTGTACTTCTGTACATTTCAACATAATTTTATTATTTTTCTTAATTTTAGAGAAAAGTCTGCAACATGTTAATCTAGATCATAGTAAAAGTTCAAGTGCCAAGCAGTTGGTATTTGATGAACAACTAAATAATGAACTGTTGGATACTTCACTAAAACAAACAACTTATTGTAAGATTTTAATTATGCTTAAAATTTATATAAAAATTATTATTTTTGCTAATTACCAAAATTATATTTAACTTTAGTAAGCCAAATGGAGAAAAGTATTAATGAACACAATTCAGCATCATCATCAAAACCGATTGAATTAAGCGAAGGTACTATTGGCAATTTAAATGTATTATCTTATAAGATATGATAAAAATAATAATATATTTTAAAATTATTACTATAAATTAGATATTGAAAATGATGATCACGAATATTTGACGAAAAGCTTAAAAAATAATAAAAAGTTCAGTTGTAAACAAATAAATCCTGGATGGTCTCCTTACTCACCAAAAAAAATAAAAAGTAACTACCTATACAGTTTTTTATTAGCATGGACATTACTCTGTACTTTGTTTTTTTATACATTTCAACATAATTTTACTATTTTTCTTAATGTTAGAGACAAGTCTGCAACATGTTAATCTAGATCGTAGTAAAATTTCAAGTGCCAAGCAGTTGGTATTTGATGAACAACTAAATAATGAACTGTTGGATACTTCACGAAAACAAACAACTTATTGTAAGATTTTAATTATGCTTATAATTTATATAAAAATTATTATTTTTGCTAATTACCAAAATATATTTAACTTTAGTAAGCCAAATGGAGAAAAGTATTAATAATGAACACAATTCGGCATCAACATCATCATCAAAACCGCTTGAATTGAGCAAAGGTACTATTGGCAATTTAAATATATTATCTTTTAAAATATGACAAGAATAATAACACGCTATAATAATATGTTTAGATACTGAATGTCTAAATCAAATTTTAAGAAATTTAACATTTTTGAAGTATGAAGTAAAACAAGTCTTGAGCAATCAAATAATTATGATGAAAAGATTAGAAACTGCTGAAAATATTTTGGAGCAAAGTTCAGGTCGATTTGAAAGGAAGGAAAAAGATTATAGCATTGATTTAACAAACTGTCCACTTCCAATCAACAACAATATTGACCTTACTATATTTGAAGACAAAATATCTGGCGACCAAGATTTTAAAAGTCAATTAGTAAGTTATTAAAAATGAATTAATTTTCTATTTTATTATGTTTTTATTAATACAAATTTCGATAGGAAAATCTCTAAAATTGTCTAGTTCTGTTATAAATTAATGTTGTTAGTTCTTATACAAAATATAATTGCAATTTCGCATGAAAATGGCAATAATATATTTTTCACTTGTAATGACGATACCAATGCAGGATAATATAGTATATCACATATAAGGCTAGCACTCCAATAATAATTAGAAAAACATACATAACTTTAACCTCATATTAGCATCTAGATGAAAGTATTATACTTGGCACTACTTATTTTGTCTTAATTATGGATTAAAAAATATTTAATATAATTAATTATTAATTTTAAATACAACTTTTTTCAGGTTACTGAGCTTTCATATATAGGTGGAAAAAATGTTAAATTAGTTGTAAAACGAATCATGTCCAAATTATTTTGTGACAGTTTACTTTCTAATTACTCATACACCGGGAAAAAAGGAAAAGATAAATTTGCAAGTCTATCAGTATGCTCTGTTGTATTTGGTAAGAATAATTATAATATATCTATAATAATTAGTAGTATATATAATACTACACATTTCTTTCTCCAAGTATTGATTTATCAAATTAAATTTTTTTTAAACTTGATATCTGGGTATTAACATTTTTTATCAGACATTATTTATAGCCACCAAATTATACTAGGCTCATCATTCATAATAATATAATACAAAAGTATTATCCATTATTATTTATTATATGCCAATAATGAGTATATTATATAATAAGTATATACAATTATATAATTGATAATTAATATAATTGTAATCAACTTTTTAGGTGCAGTTAAGAAGCAAACAAAATTTAAGAATACTCCATTGAATGAAATTGAAGAAGTCATAAAATACATTTTAGCGCAAGCCCCTTTTAATTTAAAAAGATTAGCTTCTAAACAAAATAAAAGCATTTAGCAAATTATTGTTATAACATTAACATATATTATATATTATGTTATAAATTAAAATTACTTTTAAAACAAAATATACAAATATATATAATATACAAAATTTAAAAAAATAGTTGTTTAATAATATGTCCATAACACTACTATATCATATCTAATAATTAATAAACATTATATATTCTTCTTAATCAAATATTTTATATTCTAGTATATATTTATATATTAATTAATAAGACATATATTATAAGACATTTAAATAGAATGGTTTAATAATTCTTTTATAAGTAAACTTTAAAACAGTCTTAATCATGAAACATGATTTATGTTTTCACAAGTCAATTGCATTCAATTTAAATTTTGATATCTACAAAAAAAAAACAATTTGTATTTAACAAAATCCATAATAATATATTATGTATTTTATTTTTACATATATTGATCTAATGTATATTAATAGTTAAATCATCAATGAATTTAATTATTAGTATACATTACATATTAATGACAAATTAACATTTCAAATAATGAAATTGAAAATTAATTCAAATTTGGGTCAATGTTGGAAAATATTTAATAAACTTTTTATAAATGTTAATTCTTAATATTAAATAATATTAATAAGTACTATTATTAAAACGATTAATTCTTGTTCACAACACATTTATACAATGACTATTAACATTTAAAAATGTGCCATCAATGGATCTTATATATTAATTAATGATTAAATATTAAACTGCAATGTTTGGTCAATATTTAATGAATATTGCAATGCTGTGTGGGTAGCTAAAATATCAAAGTTATACCAAATTTGTCGTTTTTACTTAATACAACCTACGGTGGGTAAATACACTCAACCAATACAAAATCCTAACCTAATCTAGCCGTACTAAAATCCGATGAATAAAAAAATAACCAAAGATTCTTATGTATAGATAAAGAAGAGAAATTGTGGTATATTGGTAAAATACACAATATACCGGTTTTAATTAGTATTAAGTTGGTCATGTAAGAGACCGGTCCCCACCGACCGGCTCACGACGATTATGGTAATTATTATAATAAATCAGTCTATGTTCGGTGTTCGAACCTACTTACAATACGAACTACTTACAATTACGTGGTTTGTTCTTACTTATATAATACACCATCACTTCCCCTGCGCATAATCGCAGGATAGAACAAATTGGCGATGAAGAAGTTCGACTACTTTCACAGTCATAGTTTGGTTAAGGGTACGTATCATATTATTTGGTCAATTTGGTCATCGGAAAACATGCCGGACCAACTAAACACAACGACCACGACCATGACCACGACCACGACCACGACCACGACCACGACCACTACCACGACCACGACCACGACCACGAGCACGACCGCGGCGACAGCAACTGCGACGACACAGAGTGCGGGGGCTCAGGTACATACTAGAATCATGTATTCACAAGTTATAGGCTCCGCAGGCACATTTGAACCGGATAACGATATAAAAATTTAACTGTCACGGCTAAAAAACTTTTTTGATGCAAACGGCATAACAGATGAAGTTAAAAAAAAAAAGCTATACTACTCTCGTCTATTTCGGAAGAGGTGTACAAGCTTTTATATAGTTTGTGTGTCCCAAGTGACCCGAACAATCGTTCATTCAAAACCTTGTCGACGTTACTTACGGAGCATTTCGAACCAAAAAAATCATACTTCGCTGTTAGGCACATGTTTTACCTAGCCAAAAAAACAGATGAAGAAAGCGTGGCACAATGGAGTGCTCGTTTAAGAGACTTAGCATCAAAATGCGGTTTCGGAACAGAATTAGAAGTCGTGATGCGTGACGTGTTCGTAGTCGGGATGGGATCAGGACGGGTTCAAGACCGTCTGTTGGAAGAGGATGCGTCAAGTCAAACAGTCACGCTGGTTAAATTGGTGGAAATTGCAACCAACAAGGAAGCAACAATCAACGCAAGCAAGCAGTGGACAGCAGGAGATGCGTCAATCAACTTCACTAGACCAAAAGAAGAGAAAACCATCACAAAGCAAACAAGGGGAGGGGACAACAGCCACGTCAACGGCAAGGTCAAATGCGGTGTCTGCGGGCGCGCTAACCACTCCACAAACACTTGTAAGTTTAAAAATTACACATGTAATGCGTGTGGGGTAAAGGGGCACTTAGCCCCAATGTGTTGTTCTAAACCTAACAAATCCAAGTCAGGGTATCAAAGTAAGACTCGAAATAAATTTCTATCGGAAGAGGACGGAGACGACTCTTCTTGCGTAAATTTAGCCTATTCTTTTTTTCTATGAGCGTAATTTCCAATCATAAATTAAAAGTAGAACCGTTTAAAATAACGTTGGATGTTGAAGGTATTCCGATTACCTTTGAGATAGACACGGGTTCATTATATAGCATTATATCGGAGAAGACGTATAATTCCTATTTTCGAACAAATGTTATAGAAAAGAATGATATTGCGTTATCGGACTACGTGGGTAATAAGATTACACCGGTGGGTAAGACCAAGCTATCAGTTACTCATGATAATGAGGTCGCACAGATATGGGTGTACATAGTACCGAGCGGCGGTCCCCCTCTACTTGGTAGGAACGACTTGGCTTTGTTAGGTATAAATAGTTTATCTTCATGTAATTTTACGGCCGAGAGTGACCTTATCGATTCAATGCTTAGCAGGTACAAATACATATTTAAAGAGGGTCTAGGTACTTTTAACTCGTATACGGTATCGTTGAGAGTGAAGCAAGACACGATTCCGAAGTTTTGCAAACACCGCCCAGTCCCTATAGCGCTTAGAAAAAAAGTGGAAGAGGAAATCGAGCGATTAGTGCGGAACCGGTCGTTAGTCCCCGTAGACCATAGCGAATGGGCAACACCGGTGGTACCAATTTTAAAAAACGATGGATCGGTAAGGCTGTGTGGGGACTTAAAGTAAACCCGGTTTTAGTAGGCACCGAGTATCAATTGCCCAAAATAGAACACTTGTACGCTAAAATCGCAGGGGCCCACTATTTTTCAAAAATCAACTTAAAAGACGCGTACCAGCAGTTAGTCCTAGATAGCGATTCATAATTGTTCACAACGATAAATACAATTAAAGGGTTGTTTAGGTACACTCGCGTTCCTTTCGGGTTAAAGTCATCGGCAGGGGAATTTCAAAAGGCAATAGAGAGCATCACCTCGCGGTTAGAAGGGGTTGACGTTTTCATTGACGACATCATTGTTTCGGGCAAAACAGTACGCGAACACAACTTGCGACTAGACAAACTTTTAGGGACTTTAAATGTAGCAGGTTTAAAAGTAAAAAAAGAAAAGTGTTGTGTTCTACAATCATCGGTAGAATATCTGGGTCATAAAATTGACGGAAAGGGATTACACACATTAGATAAACATATAAAAGCGATAAAAGCAGCCCCGTATCCCCAAAATAAGTCCGAATTAAAAAGTTTTCTTGGGTTAGTAACCTATTATGCTAAATTCATTAAAAATGCAGCATCAGTACTTAAACCATTATACAATCTACTCAAAGACAACGCCCAGTGGGTTTGGACAAGAGAGATAAACACTGCGTTCCTAAATATAAAAAAAATGTTGTCGTCCACGCCTATACTAGATCATTATAATCCAGAGAAGCCAGTCAAGTTAAGTGTGGATGCGTCTGCGTTTGCCGTCGGGGCGGTGTTGACACACGTTTACGCAGATAAGGTCGAGAAACCAATAGCTTACGCGTCACGGGTGTTATCGAAGACGGAGTGTCAATACCCGCAAATCGAGAGAGAAGGTTTAGCAATAATTTTCGGTATACAAAAATTTTACGACTATTTATACGCACGTAAATTCACGTTGGTAACAGACCACAAACCGCTATATCACATATTCGAAAAAAAAAAGGATATACCGATATATGCAGCTAACCGACTTCAAAGGTGGGCATATGTATTGTCCTCCTTTGATTTCGACATTGTTTTCGTTAAGTCCGGAGAAAATGCTGCTGATTTTTTATCGCGAATAAGAATAGGTAAAGCGGTAGATACACCTTCCGACCTGAATTGTTTAAACTTTATCTATGACGATTGCCCATTCATAATTAATTGGTCGAAAATAAAAACACAGTCGCGCGTGGACAAAACCTTATCGCGCGTAATTAGAGCGATTAATACCAGTGAGTGGCCCGTGGACGCTAACACGGTAGAGTCATTTAAACCGTACTACCTGCGTAGAAACGAGTTAACCACGGAACAAGATTGTCTAATGTGGGGTTATAGAGTAATTATCCCCGATAAGTACAGAACAGCGCTATTAAAAGAATTACATTCCACACACTCGGGCGTAAGTCATATGAAAGCATTAGCGCGTTCTTATTTTTGGTGGCCCATGCTCGATTCAGACATCGAAAACATTACGCGTAACTGTCAAAACTGCTTACAAGTTAGGTCTTCGCCTCCGAAAGCCCTGCTTACGCCCTGGAAGTGGCCAGAACAGCCTTGGACTAGGTTACACATAGATTTTTTGGGCCCATTCAAAAATAAGGTTTTTTTGATAGTAGTAGACGCAACCTCAAAGTGGTTGGAGGTTTTTGAGGTTACTGGCACTACCGCAAGTATAGTAATTTCAAAACTTCAAGAACTAATATCGAGGTTTGGAATCCCAAAGTCCATAACCTCGGACGGAACTAAATGTTTCACGGGAAGGGAATTTGAAACGTTCTGTAAAAACGGGGGAATCCAACACCTGGTAGGTGCACCGTTCCACCCAGAAACTAATGGGGCCGCGGAATCGGGAGTCAAGACCATAAAACATTTAAAAAAAAAAAAAATAACACCACCAAAATGACTCAAGTACAAAAATTTCTGATGATGTACCGCAACACTCCACACTCGACAACACTACAGGCCCCGGCAAAATTGCTGTTAGGACGGAATATCAGAACACAATTCGACGCACTGATACCCAGTAGCGTCGACGTAGTTAACCATCGCCAAACAGCGAAAATCAAACACCACGGTAAACGTCAACACGAGCTAAAAATAGGGGATACTGTGGCGGTGCGTGACTACCGCAATAACGACCAAAAATGGTCAAAAGGTACGGTAACAAAGTCACTAAGCAAAAATGTCATTGAGGTCGATACGGAGGCGGGTATTTGGAAGAGACATTTAGACCAAACATTAGCGATAAACAGTGTAGGGAGCGCGGGGGATACGTTAGATCGGAACGCGCCCAGTGAAAACGTCGTTGTTATACCCGAGAATGAGCCTACCGAAATGCCCACCACTTCCCCACATGTCCGACCGGTGAGAGACAGGAAACAACCAGACCGGTATACGTCTAAAGATTTTAGAAAATAAATCTCGAAACGTCGGCAAGGTCACTCAAAGCGTAAAAAAAAAAAAAGTGTAAACCACGGCGGTAAACGGCCGTCTCTCATGGTTAATAATTAGTACTAACGCGGTACCTTGTAAACGTTAAATATATTTTTTTGTTTTCCATACAAATGTTTTTGTAAAGATGTAAGGGTAGACGTGTGGTATATTGGTAAAATACACAATATACCGGTTTTAATTAGTATTAAGTTGGTCATGTAAGAGACCGGTCCCCACCGACCGGCTCACGACGATTATGGTAATTATTATAAAAAATCAGTCTATGTTCGGTGTTCGAACCTTACTTACAATTACGTGGTTTGTTCTTATTTATATAATACACCATCACTTCCCTTGCGCATAATCGCAGGATAGAACAGAAATAAAAAAAAACGATTTAAAAACAATGCAAGATATTTGAGACATTCAGTACTAAATTAAATAGATGTGCCACTGCACCAACAAGCTTATCGCTTTAATAATAATTATTATTATTAAAACCAATATTTTATAATATAAACATTATTGAAAGCAAATATAAATTTAATTACAGCTGGTATAGTTGATTACATTTGATGGAAGTTGATATATACGTCGAAAGGCGTTAATAAAAGTTGACTATTAATCTCACATGTTTCCTAGAGTGGATATTTCGTATTGATGGAATTGTACAGTTTCTTTTCACTAAGTATACTCTAGAGTCTAGGAAAAAGAAAAATTGTTTTATACTTAAAATTGTTTGTCTTTATCAACTTTATCGTAGCTAACAGCTGACACCACACTGTAAATCACGAATAAAGGTTTTATACCAAGTAAAAAATAATGAAAAAACTGAAATAACTCGATATCGTAAAAGGAACCAATTAGTTATTAAAATATATAAAGATTGGTGTAAGGTGTAAGGTATCCAATTGAAAAAAAATATGTACATATATACCTCTAAACATTTTTTTTAAGTTAAATAAGTAAAATAATTACTTTTATAGTTTAATATTAGCCTTTGCGTATATTATTTATTGATGAAAATATAAAGTAGTATTACTGTATTACATAACTCTATTATAATGGAGCCACGAAATTTTAAATTGTAGTGTCCTTAGAAGATTTTATTAAGATGTCCTGTTTTCAAACCCTGATTCATAGATAATATTACTATTACAATTCTCTATAATAAAATAAAAAAAACCTTTTCCCGGTTATTCTTTTAATCTTGCCATATTTTATTAAAAATAAAACTTGTTTATTTTGTTCGAGAATAGATATTTTGTAAGCTAAATACATAATAAACACAATATAGTAGTATTGACTATTGTTACATTTTTCAAAAATCAAAATTTGTACCACGTTCCTAACTTGTATCGTTATAAAATAATCTGTCGAAAATTTCACGATATTAGAGACATTCGTGACTAGAATTTTTGAATGAAAATTAGCGGTGTAACAATTTATTTCACATATCCTCCAAAACACGGATTGAGCATATTAAACTATTGTACGTATATCATATTTAATTTAAGTACGCCTTCAATGTATCTCACCTTAAACATTTTTCAAAATTTGATAAATTTGTATGCATTTTTCGCACAAACCCAAAAAAATACTAAAGATACAAAAATCAGATACGTAAAACAAAACAATGACAACTTGTTCAGTTGCAATGGATTTCTCATCGTGTTAATACTTAAAACTGATGTAACATTATCGAATGGAAATTGTGAGTGGAGTTCATAACTTATAATATGACGTTATCTGTTGCACAGATATTTTATACGTATCTACAATATAGGTAGGTATACATATCATTTGTTTATGAAATACAATAAGTACTCAAATTACTAATTGGAAATCTGATACATTGGAGAGTGTTCAATAGTTATATATACGTAGTGTAAGATGAAATTCATAAACTATTGACTGTAAAAAATATATTTTAACAGTTATTGTATACGAGTATTATGATATGACATGTATTATGATCTCTTCTACATAATATAAGTTGATAATATATTTTCGTTCAAAAACGTTCAATTAGTATTGATCCAAGCACATTTTCAAATATTATGAATACTTATAATATTCAAGATCTTATTATTAGACTTCTCGTATTACAGTGTACTAGTGTAGCACGTGAGTAATACTAACTTCAACAATTGTTGAAGTCCAAACTGCACTGCTATATTATCTTAAAAGAAAAATTGTTCCCTTGTCCAATGAATAATATGATGTGTTCTACATACCTATCTAACCTATATTTAAAATTAAAAATACTGAAATTATGTTTAAAATAGAATAATTAGAGAAAATATTTCCAGACAATGTTATCGTATCAAAAAAAAATCAAATAGATTATTATGATTGGTTATTAAGAAAGAAATATTGACTGGGTACCCAATATCTATTATGATAAATGTACTTATACATAATTTACATAATAAATGTACGTATTATTTAAACGTTGAAATTCACAACACACTGATATTGCTATTTACTACACACAATTTATTTGCATGCTATACCATGGGTTGGTTTCCAATCCATGCAATTTAATTATTGAGAAAACAAAATTTAGACTAAAATAGCGAGCTCACCCGAATAGATTGAAATATCACTATACAACAGGCTGGTGTAAAATATTAGTCTCTGCGACCTGTGAGTAAGACTGACGACGACGTTTAAATGAAGCGGTGGCACATTCCATGGGATTTTTGTTTTTAGATTGGATTTTGCCCAGTGACCATAAATTTGTGGATGACATAAGGTGTCGGCCATAAATAAGTGACAATGCGCACGGCGGTAAAATTAAACCATTTTACAAACTTGAATCAGAAGTTCAAAGAAAGAAAATCACATATAGATATATTTTGCGAAAAGAATACAATGTAGTATAATAGAACGATGTATATAAAAAGTACCTAGGTAGGTACTTAATATATCTGAATGTTACTTTACGGTGTGAGCCGGAGTGATCAGTTGACTGAGAGAGCATTACCCTCATAATATATATGAATATAATATAATTATATTATATATTATTATACAATTTTTATAAATAGTTCATAATTAATATAAGCTCTAAATAGGTATTTTGAAAAATGAATTATGTAACAACAAGTGGGTCACTGTAATGTGTAATGGATGGTGTTAAATTTGAATTCAATGATATAATATTATTGTATAAGAAAAACGATTTTGAGTGAAAACGGTCAGTCAGCCTAGATATTACTAAGTACCTATATTTGATGATATTATTGTGAATAAAGTAATATTTATATACCTATTTACCTATTTACGTGGAATCTTGTTTTAAATGTTCAATCCTTAGCTATAAAAGTTAAATATTTTATACATTTTTAACTACAAAATAATTATTAAATTTTAAATATGATAAATGTTGTCAAAATTCGACCTTTAAATGTTTATAAAAAAAAACTGTGAAAATGTATTTTTAATATTTTTCAACTGCTATTGTTATAATATATCAGGAGCCTTGCATTTAATTTTCATGCTTTTTTACCCAACAAATAAAATTTTATTGATATTTATAGAAAAAAAAACTAAAAAAATTGAAAACTGCCAATGTCCTTAAACAGCTCAAAAAGAGTCAAAATATTTTCAAATTTTTTTGGTGTATAGAAAATAAAAATATAAACATTCAGTAAAATTTTCATGTATCTACAGTTATTCGTTTTTGAATAACAATAAAATAACAAAACCGCTACATATCGAGTGAATATCCAATCGTGTACAAATATGAACTTCAAATGCTCATAAAAATTTAATTTGATTTGCTTGTTGATATTTTTTTTTTTGATGAAGGTAGATAAACTTATGAGTTATCTTGTATTAGATTTTCAAATCTTGGATTTAAAAAGAAAAAATGTTATGAATTCTCAACTCAAAATAATTTGTTAATTTTCGTGATTTTTCGGTATTTTGTCAAGATTTGAACTTTAAATGCTTATAAAAAAAAAAACTGTTACTAAGGATTTTTAATCATTTTGAACTGCTATTGTAACAATAAAGTAGGCGCCTTCTATTAAATTTTCAAGCTTTTGTACCCAACAAATAATATTGTATTGATATAATTTATAGAACTAAAAATTAAAAAATTGGAAACTGAAAATGTCCATAAACAGCTCAAAATAAGTCAAAATATTTTTAAAAAGGCATGGTGTATAGAAAATGCTAATATAAACAGTCAGTAAAAATTTCATGTATCTACGGTCATTCGTTTTAGAGTTGCACCAAAAACCAAAATCGATTTTCTCGAAAACAGATTTTGCGTAGAAATTCCCGTTCTTCCTTAATTTTTCTTTTGTTTTTCATGTTGCTTTTGAAAACTACTAGGAAATTTTTATTTTTGACTTCCCAAAGTACCAACTAGATTCACTTTCCTATCAGAAAAGACACTGTTGAAGAAAATCCTAGCACTTTTACAATCCTAAAAGGTGATAAATTTAATTTAATGATTTTATGATAAAAATACACATCATTGTAATATCAATACATTCATCGTTTCACTCAGAATCTAAAAGAAAATATTATAAGATATTATCGCTACTGGAAAAATGTTCATATTACACACTGGGTAGGTTTGTATCACATATGTACATTTTTTTCAGACAAATTATATTATTTATTATGTGGTGGTTTACAGGCAATTCACCTTCAAAAATGATTATTTATTATCTGTTTTCACAACAACGTGTGAAAAAAAATGAATAATAAGCATTCTTGTACGTTGATGGATATCACCATTTTATGGTCACCACTTATCTCTAATGTTATAGATTGCAAAATGTTGGTAGAAAGTCTATTAAGTCCAATTCATTGGTTAATCCGGTACGAAAATCGTTTTCTCGATTTTCAAACACTCCAAGGCTTAAAAAAATTTATGTTTTTCATATACATTTCAAAAAGTCACTTATATCTAGAATTTATTGGTAATAATATATTTTATTTCTATCCATCAGACACCGTTGATA